TATGGGGCTTTTTGCTACTCTAACATTCCCCCCTCTGAAAAGGTAACCCTAAAAATCATTTAAGGATTAGATAAAAGCTCCCAAATATTTTTGACATTTTTGGCCTTTGGAACAGTATGTTGCTAAGAGGCCCAAAGACACTGTGAGCTTTAGCCAAGAAACTGGCTACTTTTCTTTGGGGTCTTTTTACCCTAACTGCCTAGCCAATTCCTACCTCCTATTCTTTTTAAAAAATATTTTATTTATTATTTTTATTTTGTGTGTATGAGTGTATTGCCTGTGTGTGTGTAAGTACACCTGTGTTGTGCAGTGCCCCAGGAGGTCAAAAGAGGGCGTCAGATGCCCTGGAACTGGAATTACAACTGGTTGTTAGCTGCCATGTGCATGCTGGGAATCGAACCCGGGTCTTCTGCAAGAGCAGTCAATGTTCTTAACCGCTGAGCCATCTCTCCAGCTCCTCAAATGGTTTCACTCTTAAAGAGATCACGCAGAGGGATTGTGCTCTTTGGGTGCTTCCTATATGCCTGAGATATTTCCTAATGGAAACAGTTGAGAGAAAGAATGAGGACAGAATGAGGGAGAAGCTACACAAGGGCACCGCAGATGGTGGAATCTTAGTACTCATGTCCCGAGGTGGATGTTCAAAGTGGTGGTAGCTCGATGCCATCAGCTGTTATGATCACGTGACTCACTCCCCAGGGAGCACCACGTGATCATTAGCAGACCTGACCTTGGTTTGCCTTTTCATACAATTCTTCACTGTGGGGGCACAAATATCAGGATGAACTCTTAGCACAGTGGGCTGAATGTTTGTGTCCCTCTCAGATTCACATGTTGACACCCTGATCCCAAGGTGTTAGGAGGCAGAGCCTGTGGCAGTTCTCAGGTCCTCCTGGTGGGACCCTGTCCTGGTTCTGTTTCTGTTGCTATGATAAAATATCCTGACAAAAAGCAAATTAGAGGAGAGAGGGTTTACTTTTAACTTACTATTCTAGGCCACAGCCCATCAGGCAAGTCAAGGCAGGAACTTAAAATAGTCATATCACATCCATGGTCAAGAGCAGAGAGAAACAAATGCATGTGTTTACTTGTTTGCTGGGTTACGCTCCGTTCCATTCCTCCACTCCTACAATTAAGGGCCCCCTACCTAGGAAATGGTGCTGCCCACACCATGCGGGCTGGGACTTCCCACACCAGTCAACCTAATTAAAACAATCCCCCCCCCAAACATGCCCACAGGCCAACCCACTGTGGACAACCCCTCACTGAGATTATCTTCCCAGATTATGTCAAGTTGGCAAAGCTGACCATCACAGCGAGAGGTCAAAGCCAACCAGCTCTCTTTAGACCATGAGATGACACAAGGACAGACCTGTCATTTGCAATCTGGAGAAAGACCTTCATGAGGATGTGATAGTGAGCTGGCTCCCTGACCCAGGAAGTTCATCCTTAAGACCAGTGGCAGGCCAGTCACCCAGTTTGTGATGTTTAGTTTCAGCACCTGAGCTGACTGAGACACCAGCTTTCAGGCCATAATGTTATACAGAGGAGTCTGTGCATTTGATGGCTGGAGCTCAGTCCTGAGGCTGGACCTCAGGGATCCAATCCAGTGTGTCTTGAGATTGTGGCTCAGGCTCTGGGCGAGCAGCGTACAGGGGCAGCAACTTCACTGCTGGTGGCTCAGGGTCACAGTAACTCCTGGGCACTTGGTGTGCGTTAGGAAATTGTCTCTCTCACTAGGCCTTCTCCTGACTGCTGACTCCACCCCAGGGGGTCCTGGCCACCAGGGGTTTCCTAGTTCCACCACTTGATCTCCCCACCACAAACATCTGTCCTGAAATCTAGGCAGTCCCAACACTGTCCCCTGTGTTCAGAGACCCTCTCTACTCATATCTATGTCTATGAAGATTCAGCTCACAGTTGACCTGGGTGGAGAGCACCCCCTGGGCAGAGAGAACCTTCTGGTCACTCCTACAAGGCTGACACAGTAGCTCACTTTTTACCCAGTTATAAAATACTAGATTTGGTATAAAACATCATTTCTCTGGACCTGATGGGACCTTGCTGTGGAGGAGTGTGACCAGCAGGAGGCGCTGGTGCCCTGGCTGCTGCTCCATTTTCCCACTGGCAGTTCAAACCTGAAACCGTCAGTTGAAGGGAGGCAACAACATCAGCTACTC